ATCCTGGTGAATACTCTGGTGCAAATAGTATTTCCCCTCCTCTGTCTCTGCTGCTGGGCAAGGGAGGGCTCCCCACAGGTTCCGATGGCATCTCCTGTTTCTGTCCCCCTTTGCAGCACTGCCTGACAGAGATTGAGGTCCTGGCCATTGTCTTTGCGGCAGCAATCCATGACTATGAGCACACAGGGACCACTAACAGCTTCCACATCCAAACCAAGTGAGCAATATGGATCTATTTCGTGTGTGTGTGTGTGTGTGTGTGTGTGTGTGTGAGAGAGAGAGAGAGAGAGAGAGAGAGAGAGAGCTTATTGGTACAATGGGCAGCTATTACAAAAAAGTGAAAGAGAGTCTTTTGATGGCAGAGTGGTAGAGCATGTTCCAGTCCCTGACCTAGCATAGTAACAAACAAAAACAACCCCCCTCTGCAGTTTAAAAGGCCATGATGGTTTAAGTAGCCAAAGGCCTGAGAGAAGAGGAATGTTTTTGACTGGCACCTAAAGATATGTAGCAAAGGCACCAGGTGAGCCTCCCTGGGGAGAGCATTCCACAAATGGGGAGCCACTATAGAAAAGGCCCATTCTTGTGTTGCCACCCTCTGGACCTGTCTTGGAGGAGGCACATGAAGAAGGGCCTCGGTGGATGATCATATGAGGAGAGGCAGTCCTTGAGATATTTTGGTCCTGAGGCATTTAGGGCTTTGTAGATTGAAACCAACAATTGGATTGGGCAGCTGGTTGCCATTATTGAACTAGGGTTCAAACGAGATGGGGGCAAACTTGAATATGGTGGCTCTGCCTGTCATTGGTTGTGGCTTCACTTACCGTTGGGCGTCCACCTTACCAGCTTCAATGGGCTCCAACCACCACTGCAGCCAAGTCTGTGCAGGTCAAACTATACCCCCTGTTCAATGCTTAGAGTGTTGGACTATGGCACCTGATATGCGCGTGGGTGAAAATCAGAAGAGTTTGAATGTCTACCCCAATCCCTGTGAAACAAGACTGGAATTGGCATTGCTAAAGCTGCCTCTGAACTGTACTGTTGTTCTTCCCTTCCCCAGGTCAGACACGGCCATTTTGTACAATGACCGCTCGGTGCTTGAGAACCACCACATCAGTGCTGTCTTCCGCATGATGCAGGAGGATGAGATGAACATACTCGTCAACCTGACCAAGGATGAATTCGTGTGAGACCTCGTCCTCCTCCTGCCTGCTGGATAGGGCTCACTCTTGCTGAGGAAGATGTTGCCTTGGAATGTGGGGGGGACTCTCCTGGGGGGGCACTCTCCTGGGGGGGGCAGACATTGTGGGAGAGTCAAGCCAATGGTTTGCAACCACTGCTGTCCGCTAAAGTGGATAGGATTGTGGACACAGTGCCCTCTCATTGTGCAATGTTTACTTACTCAGAAAATGTCCCACTAAGTTGGGTGGGTTTAGGATTCCAGTTTTAAATACTTTGTTTTATTTAAGCTCATACGTGTTTCTGTTGAGCTCCTGATGGTCTCATTTCAGGTCCACACATCCAGTAGGCTTTGAATACACCACAGCAGGTATGGATAACCTCTGGCCTTCCAAATGTTGCTGAACTACATCTCTGTCATCTCTGGCATTGGCCATGTTTGCTGAGGCTGATGGGAGTTGTGGTTGAACAATACCAGGGGGGGCCAAGGTTTCCCACACCTGTGCTCTATAAAGCACCAGATGCTCCCAATTCATTCACTGGACCCACTTTTGGTCTCCATGTCTCGTTCACCTATTGATCATGGACAGAGAAGTTGTGACCCTTTAGATGTTGGATTCAAACTCTGATTGGCTGCAGCCAGCATTGCCAATGGACAGGGATGATGGGAGTTGTATCTTGGCAGCATCTGGAGGGGCATAGGTTCCTCACCCCGGCTGTTCAGGGTGATGACAGCAATACTGTAAGGACCAGGAAAACAGGAACTCATGACTTGTGCACCAATACATGAAGCAAGGGACAGAATATTAGGCTTAATTCACAGAAGCAGCAAATGAAGTGGTGAATTTGTTTCTGGACTTTACCACTGGATTTCAGGTCTGAAAACAATGGCATTTCCAGGAAATCCATATGCTATAAATAGTGTATAAATCCTTATGGATTTGTTGCATGGGTTGATGAAGGCTGTGGCTCTCCCCTGCCTTCACCTGGAAATATACCCAGACTGCCAACACACCACATAAAAAGAAAGCACTTGCAATGTAGGAAAAACTAGCTACTCTGGAGTCAAAGTGCAGAGAACCTCATTTGTTCATTTCATGCACACACAGGCTCAGAGGCTTGGGATTTATGATGAGACTTTTAGCTGGAGTCAACTGGTGCAGGTGATAAGGGTCTGAGCTTCTCCAGATCCCTTCTTCCAAATGTCTTTTCATGCTTGGCCTGCTTGTCTCCTTGATTTCAACCCACATCACCTTCCTTGTTGTTGTTTAGTCATTTAGTCGTGTCCAACTCTTAGTGACCCCGTGGACCAGAGCAGGCCAGAGCATCACCTTCCTAGGCAGCACCCTGGGTTTGGAACCCTTTCCTGGCCCAAAACAATTTTCAAACCCTTTTCATTACCCATCTCCAGACCTGCTCCCTGACCAGACTCAAAAGCAACCCATAGCTTGTTTCTGTAGGTCAACTTGACAGGGTCTATAGGCAGCTCACCTTTCATGATACATCACTTGGTTTTCCTGCAGGCCAGTCCTCACCCCTTTCACTTTCTGTGAGAATTCCCTATTTGCAGATTGTGCAGTTGCTTTATACTTGCATGGATCACACCACTTGGAGAAAAAAGAGGGGTATAGGAAAGACCCAGCTACACAGCTGCCCCCCCCATACACTTCTGATGGGGACCCATCATGATTGGCTTCCTCCTGGAACTTACAGGACACCCTTATGCATGCTGGGTAGCCAGATACTTTGTAACGATGGTCTGGATGTGCCTATACATGGAAGAAGTGTGATTATATCTTTTGTTCAGTCCTAAGAAATAGTGGGAGTAAGCTTTTGAGTTTTACAGAATTCTCCTTCAAATGCAGCTGCACAGGACTAAACAATCGCGATGATGATTACCTATTGAATCCGTTCATCTTCAGAAAAAGAATGAAACTGGATAGAGTTTGACAGACTGATAAATGTGTTATAGTTACTAAGGCCTTGCTGGGAGGCTGGGAGGCTTAACATTGCAAAGGCTTCCAGGAGGCAAGAGTAAATGAGAAGATGTATTATATTTGGGAACTTATCCGCCAGAAGACAGGCATTTATGTGACTCAATGCCATTTGAGCTTCTCATGACTCCTGGGATGCAGGGCAAAAGATATAACCACCAATATTAGAGGTCATTTAGAAAGCACATCACAGCAGTGTTATTGCCTGACACACATCTTGGAACAGAATCAAAGATCATCTGCTCAAATCTGGCCATTCAAGATGACCAAATGGATAGATCCTTTCTTTTCTCACCAAATGTCAGGGCTCCACTGGGTGTAAGGACCTGTGATGAGCCTGCTGGATCAGACCAGGAGCCCATCCAGTCCAGCATCCTGTTCTCACCGTGGCCGCCCAGGTGCCCGTGGGAAGCCTGCAAGCTGAGCATGAGCACAACAGCACTCGGCACACCTTCACAGCAGCTGGTATTCAGAGATATACTGTCTCTGGCAGTGGAGGTAGAATATAGCCCCGTTGACAGTCTTGTACCTCAGGAATGTGTCTAATCCTCTTTTAACGCCATCCAGGCTGGTGGCCATCTTGGCCTCCTGTGAGGGCAAGTTCCATAGTTAAACTAAAGAATAAGGGGGGGGGGTAATGCTACAGGTGGTAGAGCTGTCACACAGCAGAAAACACATGTGCCCTTCTGCCCCAAGGGCAGAGCTAGATCCAATGGGTTCAAGTTACAGGAGGGTAGATTTTTGCTCGTGCACCATGAGAAACCTCTTGATGGTAAGAGCAGTTCAATAATGGAACCGATTACCTAGAGAGTGGTGGGCTTGAAGCAGAGGATTTGGACAGCCTTCTGTTGGGGATGCTCTTGCTCTGGATTTCCTGCATTGTGCAGGGCATTGGCCTAGACCAGTGTTCTTGCATTCTTCAACCTGGAGTCCCAAGATGTTGTTACGACTACAACTCCCATCATCCACAGCTGATTTAGCTGTCTGTGGATGAGAGGAGTTGTAGTCCAACATCTGGGGAGATAAGAATAATGAACTATACAGCCTACAAGGCCCCCTCCAACTCTATGAGTTTATGAAACACACAGGAAAAGTCTGCGTGAATATCTCTTTCCTTCCGTTTTGTATGGTGCAGGGAACTCCGGTCACTTGTGATTGAAATGGTTCTGGCTACGGACATGTCCTGTCACTTCCAGCAAGTCAAGTCCATGAAAACCTCCCTGCAGCAGCTTGAGCGGTAAGGGGCAGAAGAAGGGGACTGCGGGGGAGGCAGGGGCACAGACCATATGGCATGGATGGAGGTGCCCAAGGGAGGGGTGATAGGGACAGTGGGACCTGAGTCCTAATTTTTTCCAGCCTTGCAGAGTAACAGTGACCTAGTAAGGCCGGGGATGTCCAGCTAGCAGTGTTCCAGTGAATGTGATGACATCACAAATCTGGCTAGACAACCAGAGCTGGCCATGTGCTGATGTAACAATTCAGAGCAAGGGCAATGCTTTGAAGCAAGATCTGAAGCCCAAAGGGAGAGGGGCTTATTTCAGCCTAGCTCTAGTTATGCTGGGGAACCTGTCCTCTATTAATGGCATTTCACTAAAGGAGTTATGGAACGAAAAAGGAGTCTTGGGGCTTTTCAAAAGGAGCAGGTTTTGTGGGAATGGTACCAGCAGAAGGACTCTACTTTTCTAAGAATAGACCAAAGAAAGACAGAAGAGCAGCAGCAGCACAGAACCAGTGTGAGAGAGGTGGAGGAGAAGCAATTTATTTAGCCCATTACGTTTTGAGTCATGGACTCGTAGAATTGAGGTTCCAACCTCCAGCAATGCAGGAATATTTTGCCCAATATGGGGCTCGAACCCATGACTCTGAGATTGAGAGTCTCATTCTCTACTAATTGAGCCACCAACTTATCTATAATGTCATAACTTATTTTCAGGAGTTCTGGTTGTACTGAAGCACAGAGGCCTACCAGTCAGCCATTATGTCTGGTTGCCATTTCTGACATGCACAGAGGGCTTGAGAAAAGGGCAGGAGAAAAATGAGAAACAGCAGAACTTTTCCCCAAGTTCCCCAGCGGCTTGGAAGGGACTCTCCCTTTTTCTTGCCTGCTTGAAAACTGCAGTGGAAATGAGATTTTCACAATAGGGTTCTGTGTGGTGCTATGTGACCTGCTTGGCCAGAGGGCTAAGACCATTTGTCTGTGGTGAGTTGGCAAGTGGGTTTGTGGCTGCCTACTAAAGCAGCCTTACCCTGTAGGGTGAAGGTGGGGTATGCCAGAGGTAAGATCCTACTCGATCCTCATTATTTCCATGATAATACTTTTCCAGAATTGACAAGTCAAAAGCACTCTCCTTGTTGCTGCATGCAGCCGACATCAGCCACCCCACCAAACAGTGGACGGTGCACTCCCGATGGACCAAGGCCCTCATGGAAGAATTCTTCCGACAGGTATATCCTGTGACCTCTGTGACCCAGAGGCCTGTTTCCTCTGGGATTATTATGCTTGCATACAGGTGACTCCACTACAAAACAGACACACAGGACATAGAGTAGTAAGGGGTGCATGCATGTAATTTTACATTCTTGGCTTAAAATTATTTGCAAGCAAGAAAGGAATCTCCCCCACCTTCCTTCCACTGTGAGTATGCTGAAAGGCAAATCCATGAAAATATGCTTGTGTGTTCCTTTCAGTATTGAGTGCAGTTTTGAAACTGGGATCTAGTTTTGAATTGGAAGTGTGAAATATTTTGTAGGAGGCATCCCTTAGAGAAAGTTGCTGAAATATAGGGAGGTGGAAGGGCTAGGATTCCTGAGCAGAGACTAAGAGCTGTGTTGAAGGAAGAACCACAACCCCCCTGACTGTTGCAAGCCATATGTTTATGATCTCCAGGCAATGTATCTTATCAGGTGGCCTGTTTGTTTTCATTTCTCCTCCCTATGCTGCCAGTCTGTAGCCATGGTACCCATGTGTGTTTGGTTTTAAACACACCAAACTAAACCAAAGATTCTCAGGATTTCACAGCAATTGCAGCGTTTTCACAGGATTTTCACAGCAGTTGCGGAGTGATAGTCTGTGCTTCACAGCACAATAGTAGCCATGCTTACTACCCCGGGATCAGTCTGCTTGGCTCAGATGTCTTGCTCTTAGGGTTGGTTCTGATGCTGCTTTTGCTTTCTCTAGGGTGACAAAGAGGCTGAGCTTGGTTTGCCTTTCTCCCCTTTGTGTGACCGTACATCTACGCTGGTGGCTCAGTCCCAGATTGGTGAGTTGCAGAATACCAGGCTGTATTCTTTGGTGAGGCCCTCACGACCAGCATCTCCTTCCCTAGTGGGGCTCACCACCCGTCCTGCTCCATCTGCCACCTTATTTCATCCTGCTGTCATTCTTGCCCACTAGATACCATCCCTCTCTGTGGTGCACCACGGTGCCTGGGGGAGCGGAGGGGTCCACAGCCCTGTTGTTAAGGCCTCTTCCTTTCCACAGGCTTCATTGATTTCATCGTGGAGCCCACTTTCCAAGTTCTGACGGACGTGGCTGAGAAGATGGTCATCCCCCTGGTGGAGGAGGGCTCCAAGAACAAATCCTCCAGCCAGCAGAGCAGGTTTGTACACAGGAAGGGCTGGGGTGGAGAGGAGTACTGGCATGGAGAAGCAGCCAGAACCAGTTCCAAAGGAAGAGAGACCGGCTTCTTCAGTGTCATGCGCTGTGCCACAAGTTCCCAACATTCTGTCACATGCTAATGTGACCAATAAAAAATAACCCAGGGTGATGATAGGTGGCTTGGGCAATGGTAGGTGGCTTGATTCTCAATAGCTGAGCTCACCAGGGACAAGAGAGCTGGGTTGGCCCTTACTCCATTGGTGTACTTGAGTGAAGCCCATTCGTGTTACCTAATGGTACTCTCCATACCATGGACTACATCACCCCTACTTGGGATAGCACCCCTGAAGCATACCTGCAGTCCTCCAATAATGACATAATGACAAGCCAGTTTCCTGATACAGTGGAACCTCGGTTTTCAAATGTAATCCATTCCGGAAGACTGTTCGACTTCCGAAACGTTAGAAAACTGAAGATCAAAGGGCGGTCAGCAAAATCCATTGACAAAATGGAGAAACGCGCCTCGGAAGCCATTTGAAAATGGAAGCAATTACTTCCGGATTTTTGACGTTCAGGTTCCGAATTGTTTGTCAACGGAGACATTCAAGAACCAGGTTAAGTACTTAATTTGTTCTGGAGGTCCGTTCTTAACCTGAAACTGTTCTTAACCTAAAGCACCACTTTAGCTAATGGGGCCTCCTGCTGCTTCTGCGCCGCCAGAGCACGATTTCTGTTCTCATCCTGAAGCAAAGTTCTTAACCTGAGGTACTATTTCTGGGTTAGCGGAGTCTGTAACCTGAAGCGTATGTAACCTGAAGCGTATGTACCCCGAGGTACCACTGTATTCTGTTATGCTGTAAGTTCAGCCTTCTGCAAGCTGATGCCCTCCAGATATTTTAGAGTTAAGTCCCGTCAGGCTCAGCCATTATGGGCAATGGTCAGGGACGATGAGAGTTGTGGTCTAATAACATCAGGAGCAGGAGCGGTCAATGTGGTGCCCAATAACACTGTTGGACTACAACTCCCATCAGCCCCTGCCAACGCAGCCAGTGTTCAGGGATGATCAGCACTGCAGTTCAACCAGCCCTGGTCTGGAGGGTACGCATGTCGGGGGAGTCTGCACAGAGTTTAGGGGCAATGCAGATATGAGCAGGCCTGTTTCTCATTGAGGAAAGGAGGGCGTGGAGTTTAATACCCTGCTCCACCAATAGTGCCCCTGGATGTACCCTTTTATTTTTCCAGTAAATGCATGGTTTTCATTCACTCCTATGCAGGAAAATAATACAATAGGAACAGAGCAAGATGCTTTATGCTAGGTTACATCAAACCCACAATTTTTCCTCTTGGCTGCTGTGGCCAAGTGCTGTGGGCACTTCCCATCTTTGGCAGACCAATTCTCCTTTAACTGGAGCTGCCAGGCATTGAACTTGGTACCTGAGCTCTAGACCCTCCCAGGATGCTGGTTGGCCCAGCCATTGCGGATGGGGATGGGGAGGCAGGGACAACGCATCTTGCCAGGGACCCGTTTCCCACATTGAGCCTGCTTGTCCCAGTGCTGGGGATTTGGGGGAAACAGGGCTGGTCCAAGTCCGAGGTGAAGGCCAAGATGGTGCCCCCCTGCCCCCTTCCATGTATAAGGAATGGTGGCTGAGTCTTACTTCAACACTCTCAATAGGACAGTGACCTCCACAGCAGCTGGGGGCCATGGGCTAGCTTAGCTGGAGAGGGCATGTGGCACACACAGCATGCCTAACCCCTTAGCAACTGCCACCTGAGGCAGCTGCCTCATTGCCTTGTGGGAGGGCCGGCCCTGGAGGGGAAGTTCAGCTTTTGAAGAAGAAGAAGAGTTTGGATTTGATGTCCCACTTTACCACTACCGGAAGGAGTCTCAAAACGGCTAACATTCTCCTTTCCCTTCCTCCCTCACAACAAACACTCTGTGAGGTGAGTGAGGCTGAGAGACTTCAGAGAAGTGTGACTGGCCCAAGGTCACCCAGCAGCTGCATGTGGAGGAGCGGGGAAGCAAACCGGTTCCCCAGATTACGAGACTACCACTCTTAACCACTACCCTACACTGGCTCTCTGAAGCATGTTTGCTGTGGGAGAGTCAGCCAGCCTTCTTTCTTTTGAAGAATAATAGGGGCTTTTTCATTTCCCATCCCTCCATGTGAGTTTTGGGGGGCTGTGGAGTGCTTCCCCTCTTGACTGCGTCTCGCCTGCTTGTCAGGGGAAGGCAGCGAAGACCAAAGGGAGCCTGTGTCAGCCTGTGAGATCAATTGGAACCTTTCAAGGTGCCAGCTCTGACAGAGCTTGTGCGTCCCCAAACTCCCGTGAGGCAAGCGCCAAGCAGCACAGCCAGCGGCAATGTCGGGCTTCACATAAACGGGCCCCTTTGTAGCTGGAAATTGCCTTGGCGTGGCTCACCATGCAGGCTGTTCTTTGTGCACCTGGCTTGGGGATGCCCAAGGGAGAAACATGGATCCTTCCACCCATCCCCCCTACCCCCGCTCCTGTTCCTGTCTTGGTTGTCACTCCCAAAGCTGGGCAAGTTCACAGGAGAGTCTTTAATTTGATTTGATTTTTATTTGTGGGTATTACTTTTTTTATTTTATTTTTTAAAAAAGAATACCTCCTCCCTTCCAGTTTGAAAATGGAACAGGGGTGGGGAACTTGTGGTCCTCCAGCTCCCATCCACTCCAGCCAGCCTGGCAAGTAGCCAGAGGTGATGGGTGGTCTGGTCCAGCAACATCTGAAGCACCCCAGGTTTCCCCATCCCTGACTTAAAATGCACAATACAAAATAGGAGTTGGGGGCAGGGAGACTAAGAGAAGTTGATTTGCTACGCAGGGAAACGCAGTGGTCAAGGCTAAGTGAGGGAGTATAAAGTGGAAGCATGGCCAAAACCAAGGAAGTGCTTCCAGGGCTCCCGAGTTTGTCCCTAGAGGGACACCAGGCAGCAGTCCAGCCAGCGTGACAGTCTCTGGCCAGGCACTGCATGGCAGGAACAGCCCTTTATGGCCCTTGGCTCTGGGGCTTTGCAAGGTTCCTCTGATGGTGTCTCTCACTTCTTGCAGCTCCCACTGGCGCCAGCCCTCTGTCGATGAGCATGCTGAACTGGGAGAAATCAATGCTGACATCAACAGCTTCCGTTCCACCTGGACGAAGTACATCCAAGAGAACAAACAGAAGTGGAAGGAGCGAGCTGCCAGTGGTATGGGTTGACGGTGGGGCAGAGGGATGTCTTTCTTTGTGAGTAGGGGACAGATTTAGTTGTGTTGGATCAGTTTTCCTGGTCAAGTTTGTAA